ATATATATATATATATATATATATATATATATATATATATATATATATATATATATATTGCTGTTCGCAACACAACCGGCGAAAGTGTACGCTCAGTGGCAGGGTAATAACAGCAGAGCATACCCACCAAGGCTGGAGACTGAGAGGTACTGGAAAGGCATATGGGAAAGGGAGGCATCACATAACACCGATGCACAGTGGCTGGTGGATCTGAGAGAAGACCACAGCAACCTCCCTGAACAGAATCCAGTCACCATCACAGTGGCAGACATCCAGGGAAGAGTCTCAGGTATGAAAAAACTGGACCGCACCGGGCCCTGACATGATCCATGCGTACTGGCTAAAGAAGCTCACTGCCCTCCACGAGCGCCTGGCAGCACAAATGAACCAGCTGCTAAGGGATGGGACTCACCCTGAATGGTTAACCCAAGGGCGTACGATCCTGATCCTAAAGGATCCTTCAAAGGGTGCAGTCCCATCCAACTATCGGCCAATAACCTGTCTCTCCACAACATGGAAGCTCATGTCAGGCATCATTGCGGCTAAGATAAGTGGGCACATGAATCAATACATGAGTGCAGTACAGAAGGGTATCGGCAAAAACACCAGGGGAGCCAAACACCAACTCCTGGTTGACCGAACAGTCGCCCGCGACTGCAGAACCCGTAAGACCAACCTGTGCACTGCCTGGATTGATTACAAGAAAGCCTACGACTCAATGTCACACACATGGATCACTGAGTGCTTGAAGCTGTACAATATCAACAGGACTCTAAGGGCGTTCATTGCGAACTCGATGCGGTTGTGGAAAACCACCCTTGAAGCCAAGGGGAAGCCACTTGCACATGTGTCCATCAAATGTGGCATATACCAAGGAGACTCACTGTCCCCACTACTGTTCTGCATAGGCCTGAACCCTCTCAGCCAAATAATCGACCGCACTGGCTATGGATACCGACTCAGAAACGGGGGGCCACCATCAGTCACCTCCTCTACATGGATGACATCAAGCTGTACGCTAAGAGTGAGCGAGACATCGACTCACTGATCCACACCACAAGGATCTACAGTACAGACATTGGGATGTCATTCGGGCTTGAGAAATGTAGCAGGATGGTGACAAAGAGAGGGAAGGTAGTCCACACAGAGGGGGTGTCACTCCCAGAGGGAACAATAGCAGACGTTGAGGACAGTTACAAGTACCTTGGTATCCCACAAGCAAGTGGCAACCTCGAAGAGGCAACAAGGAAAGCGGCTACGGCCAAATACCTGCAAAGAGTGAGGCAAGTCCTTAGAAGCCAGCTCAATGGCAAGAACAAGGTGCAGGCAATCAACAGCTACGCCCTGCCAGTGATCAGATACCCTGCAGGGATTGTAAGCTGGCCAAAGGAGGAGATACAGACCACAGATGTTAAAACACGAAAGCTCCTGACCATGCATGGAGGGTTCCATCCCAAATCCAGCACCCTGAGACTGTACGCAGGCCGGAAGGAAGGGGGCTGAGGACTAGTGAGTGTGGGAACCACTGTCCAGGATGAAACATCCAAGCTCCTTGAGTACATCAAGGACAAGGCCCCGGCAGATGAGGTGCTCAGAGAATGTCTCAGACAGTGGGGTCCAGAGGAAGAGGTGCTGGAGGGACCATCATGGCAGGACAAACCCCTACATGGGGCGTACCACCGGAACATAACTGAAGTGGCTGATATCAAGAAATCCTACCAATGGCTTGAGAGGGCTGGTCTGAAGGACAGCACAGAGGCACTGATCCTGGCTGCTCAGGAGCAGGCCCTGGGCACTCGAGCAATAGAGGCCCAGATCTACCACACCAGACAAGACCCACGGTGTAGACTGTGCAAAGAGGCTCCTGAGACAGTCCAGCACATAACTGCGGGGTGTAAGATGCTGGCAGGGAAAGCATACATGGAGCGACATAACCAAGTGGCGGGCATAGTGTACAGAAACATCTGTGCAGAGTACGGGCTGGAAACCCCAGGATCAAGGTGGGAAACACCTCCAAAGGTTGTGGAGAATGACCGAGCCAAGATCCTGTGGGACTTCCAGATACAGACTGACAGAATGGTGATGGCGAACCAACCAGACATAGTGGTGGTGGATAAGAAACAGAGCAGAGCCGTGGTGGTTGACATCGCAATACCAAGCGATGGTAATATCAGGAAAAAGGAACACGAGAAGCTAGAGAAATACCAGGGGCTCAAGGAAGAGCTGGAGAGAGCCTGGAAAGTAAAGGCATCAGTGGTGCCTGTGGTGATCGGAGCACTCGGGGCTGTAACCCCCAAACTGGAAGAGTGGCTACAACAGATACCGGGAAAAACAACGGACATCTCAGTCCAGAAAAGTGCAGTACTGGGAACAGCAAAGATACTGCGCAGAACTCTCAAGCTCCCAGGCCTCTGGTAGAGGACCCGAGCTCAATGAGGGTGAGAGAGACCTACCACCGTGGAAGGTGAGAAACACATATATATATATATATAAAATATTTTCACTGTTTTGAGGATTAAAATGTTTGTGTTTCATATGAACTTTGCACAAGAAGTGGTTTAACAAAAACTTTTAATATCACAGCCATGATTTAATCTTTATTTTTTATTGAACAGTATTGAATCCATTTTAAATATATTAAATTGTGCACTGTATGCAGATATGTATCGTAGCCTATTTATCAAGGTATGTATCATATTGACAACTTCTTAGCTGATATTAAAAGCATTTATAATGGGGTCTCTGCATACGTCTGGTCTGGTCAGAAGCCATTGCTGCATGTGCTGTGAACATGTCTCCAGTGAAATATACTGGTTCTGTCTGTTTATGTGATGATTTAAAGATCATGTATTCGATGGTCCCTAGGAGGCGGCAGAGCATAAACACATTCATTAGGCCTCTAGAGTTTCTGATGTTTTATTGTGGGGATTTTGCTTTGTAAACATGACATGTTTTTGCTGTTGGCACACCAACACAGACAGAGTGTAAATCTATTAGTCTAATCAAATCCTGAGGAGTTGAACATGTGGACGCCACTGTCCTATTACCAGGGTGACCAGACTTTCAGAATAAAAAACTGGGACATCCCTGGTTTGGATTGATTGGTAATAATAAAATTGAGTGCATCATTGAGGAGAACTGCTCTGTACTTTGCACTAATGTGAGTCAGTATAGTGACATTTTTTTGTGTGTGTTTTAGTCATTTTAAGCAGTTTTTCTGTGTTTTACCTAAACAAATTGCAGTGTATGTCTCTTTACTGTTGGTGGGGATCAGACTGGTCAAAAATAGGGACATTTGGGACATTTCTTGTATAAAACTGGGACAAATCACTTGGACAGTGGACACAGGGCTCAAAATTGAGACTGTTCCAGTTAAATCTGGTCACTTAGACTTAGACTTACTTTATTGACTAGACAAACTTTATTGATCCACAAGGGAAATTGTTTGAACACAGTAGCTTACACATCACAATATAATAACAACAGTGTTGGGAGTAATGTATTATAAAAGTAATGTATTACAGTAATGCGTTGATTTTTGCTGTAACGGAGTAATGTAAGGTATTACAGGGGGAGAAATTGTAATATTTTACTCGGTACAAATGTGAGTAACGCGCGTTACAATGCTTTTTAAACCTGGATTGAAGTGGTGGGTTTTTCTTCATAGAAATTTGCTAAAATCACCGTGAAATCAGCAGCGGTGAAACGCCGGAGACGCGGCCGGATAGACCTTCAGTTAACCGCGGGTGAAAGGACCGACCCAGAACTCTACGCTGTTTAGACCTGGTTTAGACCTGGGTCACTTCTGGTTTAGACCTGGCTTACAGTCGTCCCTCGCTCTAACGCGATTCACTAACGCGGTCTCGCTGTTTCGCTGATTTTTAGAATTTTTTTTTTGTGCAATTTTGCATGCCTTTTGTTTTTAGTGTATGAACACGTATTGCGTTCCTCCCGCTGTGTCCTGATCGGCTGAGGGACACCTGTCTACTGTACAGTACAGTACAGAATATGTTCAGCTGCCAAATTTAAATAAATGTTCAATCTCTAGCAGTGTGCTTCTGAAGTGCTGTATGTCTGCAAGTTTTCTCTCCGACAAAATCCACAACGTCGACGAAATGTTCTGCACCGACAAAGTCTCCTGCGCTCACACCCAAAAGACAGAGGACGATGCAAACCATCGCACAAAAAGTTGGACTTCTGGACACGTTGAAGGAAGGTAGAAGTTACGCGCTGTAGCAGAGTTTTGCACCGGGTCTTGTACCCGCAAATAGTTGCTGAAATCAGGACCGTGAGCCTGAGCAGCAGGGTGTCCATAAAGCGCGATCGGGCGACAGCAGCTTTACCTCCATGAGGTGCGGAGCAAAGCCGGTCCTTTCTCCTGCGGTCACCTTCGAGCCCATCCTGACAGTGAGTCTGTTTTAGTCCTAGTTCAGTTCTGGTTTAGTCCTCCTCTTCAGTCCTGGAATCAGTCTGAGGTTAGTCCTGTTATAGTCCTGGTTTAGTCCTGGTTCATCTCTGGTTTAGTCCTGGTTTAGACCTTGTTTAGTCCTGGTTCAGTCCATATACGGCTCAAAAGTTTAGCTTTTTCGCAGTTATTTTGGTGAGAGAAACTTAAAGTAATGCAATAGTAATGTAATGCCTTACATTTTAAATGCAGTAATATTGTAATGTAACGAATTACTTTGAAATGACAGTAATAAGTAATAAATAACGCATTACAGTTTTAAAGTAACTTGCCCAACAGTGAATAACAAAGAGAAAAAATATAAACGGTAAAATAAATTCTAAATAAGTAGCAAAAAAGAGCAAGAGACAGGTGTCAGTTTGTTAATATACGGGAGATTTAGGCATCATCAAAAGGACAGATTTCACAAATGGGGAATGTAAGGTCAGTAAAGTAATATGTCCCCTAATCTGCTGCCCCCTATAGTCATCCACCTGTAACTACTCAGGTCTGTGTGCTGCTGTGTGATTTATTTTGAAAGTGACTACAGGAAGTTTGATCTATACGGAAGAACCATGGAAGAACATGTAAACAGTGAGTGAAAATGAAACGTACAAAGGCATTAAGAGCAGATGAGCGCTGAACCTGCGGGGACACTGCGGGGACACTGCGGGGACACTGCGCCGATGGAGTCCGACTCTCACCCGGACTGGATGTCCCGTCTGCCGGGGCCGCTGCTCCAGGCGCCGCTCTGGGACTTGGCCATCCCCGGTAAGAACAGCACCTACGAGGATCACAGCCTCCAGATCCCGAAATATGATCTGCCACTGTTCGGAAAGTGCCAATTTTCAGACGATGTGTGCCCTCTAATACTTTACCTGTGTAGAGTGATCAGACGTCCCTATTTACCCGGGACAGTTCCAGTTTTGAGCCCTGTGTCTCCTGTCCCAGCACATTTATCCAAAACCACTGATTTGCTTTAACACATTTTTATACAAGAAATGTCCCAGATGTCCCTATTTTGGACCAATCTGACTCCTGCAAAGATAAGCTGACATTTGTTTAGGTAAAATATAGAAAAGTTGCTTAAAAATGACAAAAACACAAAGAAAATGTGGCTATACTGACTCACATTAGAGCCGAGTGCAGAACAATTTTCCTTAATAATTACTCACTTGTTTCACAATTTTATTATTACCAACCAACCAAAACGTTGTTGTTGTTTTTTTTATTAAAAAAATCAGGTCACCCTAGGAAAGTGCCAAATGTTTTTAGACGCTGTGTGCCCTCTAATACGTTACCTGTAGGCCTATATATTAGTAGCATTAAGGCTGTAAACAATCTGCCACTGATAGTCTATTGCCCTGTTTCTTGAATGTCCCAGGTGTCGCTATTTTGGACCAAGCTGATTCCTGCCAACAGTAAAGAGACATACACTGTCATGTGTTTAGGTAAAATACAGAAAAGCTGCTTAAAAATGACCAAAACAACAAAGAAAATGTGACTATACTCACTCACATTAGTGCCGAGTGCAGAACAATTTTTGACACACTCGTTTCACAATTATTATTACCAACCACCACAAACCAGGGATGTCCCACTTTTTAATTTTGAAAATCTGGTCACCCTGGGAAAGTACCAAATATTTGTAGATGCTGTGTGCCCTTTACTATACTTTACCTGTAGGCATACAGTAGCATGTACAGTAAGGCTGTAATATTAATATTGTTAATATCAACAGGCCTATCTACAATTTGTAACTTTTCACTCTTCTTTGCCAGTGTCAATCACCAGATGTTTCTTACCTTTGATGTTATTATTATTAGAAAATAAATACATGGAATATCTGTGGTATTTCAAATTAAAACAAAGTGTGAAGTACTTACTACTTTTATAAACCATTAGTAACAATAAACAAATCTGTGCCAGGAATTATGTGTTGATATAATATTGTGGATGGCTGAGCCAGGCCAGTCATTTCTACTACACAATGAGGCCTGCTGGGGTCATTCTGTTATATGGCCAACCCAACCCTGGCCATCAAGGTCAGGACCAATGATGTTTGGTGAAAACATTTTGGTGACCCCTGCTGTAAACTGTCTGCCATTGATAGTCTACAGACCTGTTTCTTAAAGAGCCCTTTTAAGACACCCTCTGGAGTACTTGGACAGATTCTCATCAAGAGCAAGAGTGCAGTCTATGGGTAGGCCTAGGCTATTTGAACCTTTTAGGGAAATTCTACATTATCCTACACAACATAAAAAGATATAGCCTATGAATAAGGCCTTCTCACATTCTGAATTTGAACAAAGAATTTTGCTGCATAGGCTTATTTATACACAGCCTAATAAACTAATTGGCCTACAGGCTACATGCTTATTACAACTTAACCAATGCAATCTTAGAGTGAAGTGGAAAGTACAGAATTCTTCACTGGTAAAACTGCACCTGGTAAACCTGTTTCTAAGGAAAGTAACAAAACAAAGCCAGACGTGTGTTTACAGGAATAGGAAAGAGGAACTGCAAGAAAAAACAAAAACAACCAAAAAAAAAAACAACCAAAAAAAAAAGATATGCAGCCATATATTACGATACATTATGAAAGATTAACATTTTGAATTATAACCGTTTTCCTGGGCAGGTTTAATCTTAGTTTAATCTTGTTATAGAGGGAAGTATGTATCTGCTTCCTTTTATAACAAGAAGGAAGTAGATACATAAGCCTAAAAACAAACTTAACTTTGCCGAGTTACACATATGAGAAGCAGTAATTCCAAAACACAAAGCTACAATGGGTGCAAAAAGATGAAATTAAATAAACAAAAATGATTAGGTTGGGATCCAGAATACACACTTCTTCAGCCCTTTATAAAAATGTGAGTCTGGGCACTGGTGAATTAATTTTCAGATGAGCGTGATTGACAGGTGGATTAATGAATCAGAGCCACGTGTGGGCCCTCTATATCAGAAAAAAATAATCACAGGGGCTGAAAAACATCACAGATTTGTGCAGAATCAAGGAACAAAGCACTGGACTTTGATTTTATTTGTAAATCATATGTGACCAATGAGCTTCACATGCGTCACTGAAATAAACAGATCTGTCTGCCAGGCAAATCTCGTGGACCCAATCTCGTGTCTTGGTTGATGGAAATGGTCCCATTCCTAATTAATTTAAGTAACAAAATACTTCTACCACTAGATATTGCCATCTCAGTGATTATATTTATAGATTTGAACTTTTTTTTGCCTCTCAGGTAGCCATGACAGCATGTCCTTCTGCTTGGACATGAGCTCTCCGGTGCTGAGGTCCGAGGCTGCTTTGCTCCATCTCCTGGACTGTTTCTTCCCCTGCTGCACACGGCCCTGCATCAAGCGCTGGTCTACCACACAGGTGCAAACAGACCACCACACGTCCATGTGACACCGTAACATTGTAAAATACCATTGCTGTAATTATGTTAGATGATAGGACAAAATTAGATGGTGAAATGTTGTTGAACTAGTTTATGATTTATATCTCTCTGTTTTTACTGGGTTATCCACATGACACCAAAAGTGGTACAAGGTTCCACGTCTTCTCTGTCGGCATAAATTAACAAAAGTGAAATTACATACACAACAGCCTCCAAAATATTCAACTCCAAACATTTCTAAATCATGTATTTGAGCATATTTATATTTATATTTTATAAGCAGTCCTTGAGGTCAAAATTAGTCCATTGCATACTGTCTACTGCATCCAATTAGAAAACGTTTTATAGCGCAATAATCAGGAAGTGTGCGTTAGCATGCTATGTTGCTGCACCATCACAACAAAACTTCGCTCTGGTCTTTGAAAGTTGTGAAAAGTGCCAATAAACTCATTGTGGTGAATAGTTAGGATACTCTGAATGCATAACAGGAATAATTTGGACCCATTGCAAACTTTTTAGAATTAATTAGTTTTGTTTAGCACATTTTTAAGACAAAAATCAGGTACAGTGCCTTTAACTTTTCTGTAGCAATATATCATACTTCAGAATTTGCTATGGTGACAGGTCTACCTACATCCTACATTTAAAAATGTCCAAAACCTCTTAATTCATTCATAACCATTAATTCTACCATTTTTCGTTTACCTTTTCTGTCTGTGTGCTCACATGTTCTTCTTGCGTTCCTAGCGGTCTGTGCTCATTGTCCAGTGTGAACTTGGGATTCGATTCTTGGACCTGAGGATTGCCAAAAAACCAACAAGGGACACAACACTGTTTTTTGCCCATGGAGTTTACACGTTGATATCTGTGAAGGTACAATATGGAAGAAGTGTGATATAGTATTTGTATGGATGCATAATCTACGTAAATAAGCAGTAATGTGGTCCAATATGGAATTTTATTTTTTTAAAATACCATTCTAAATGCATTTTTTTTTGCAAGCCTCAATAATTCACCTGTAAGGCTGCATTGAAACTGTAAAATTCTGAATACATATAACTGAGCTGGAGGACAGGTTAGATTGGCTCTATTCACATTTACCTCACAAACCAGGAAGGCGTTTGGAAGCATGCAATGACAACTTCAACAATGACAACTTTGAGAAAATGTCCCAGTTTTCTTTATCTCTATGTCATTATAGAGTTCCGTTGTGTTCAACTAATCAACAATTCCAACCATAAGTCAGTTTTCATCATTTCCCCACTGACACACAACTCTGAGTGCACTGGTACATGTGATTAGATTCCAGATGATTCCAAACAGCACATACATCTGCAGTCTTCATTTTACCACTGATCACATTTACTTCAGTGGGTTTGATCACAGTCAGTCGGCGAGCCCAGTGTTGAAAACTACACGGGAAGTTGTCATCACATGTTTCCAAAGGTCTTCCAGGGTTGTGAAGTAAGCGTGAATAGAGCCTGTTGCTGATTTGTTGACCTGGTTTATGGTTAATATTTCTGTAATTACTGGTGTTCACAATGGGCATACAGAAATTGAGGCTGATAAATAAAGGTTGTGTGCACTAAATGGAAGGTTCTACTATATCAGACCAAAAGTGAAATATGAAAAATCCAACATATCCTGATCAATATTATATTAGTACCAAGATATTGCCCATTCCTAATATGATTTTGTGGTATTTACTATTAAACTAAACTACACCGCTGCTTCATAGTGTAAACTAATCATGAAGGACGAGCTGACAACAGTCAGTTTTACATAGTACATCCCCTTTAGTGATGCTGTGATTTTATGTGTTGAGTTGTATTTGCTATAGGAGGCACTAGAGGAGCTGTGTGTCTGGCTGGAGGATCACCCCAGAGAAGTACTCATCCTGAGCTGCTCTCACTTTGAGAGCATGACAGAGGATGACCACCAGGACCTGGTGAACTTCATCCTCACACTGTTTGGACCCAAACTCTGCCCCCCACAGGTGACCGACAGGAGCTGCAGCAACAGCAACGTGCCAGTCACTGCACTACTAGCATATGTTTATGGTCAACAAAACATTTCTCAATATTTTCAAAATTCCTTATGTATGAATAATGTGAAATATAAATAATTGTGAGAGACGTGATTAATTAATTTACAGTTATACATGATTGTTGTGAATTAATGTACACATTACTGTTTTGAGGTTCACTGAACATTGTTATTTTTACAAGGTGCATTTGAACGCCCCACACTGGTTTTGCACGTGTGCCTGATACTAAACTGGAGAATGTTTTTACCACAGCAAGACACAGGATGAGAGCGGGGATGTGTTATAGCCAGTTTTAACATTTTCTGTGGCTTCATAATAAATATCCCTTGTAGAAAAGACAACCTAAATTGTTTCTGTGCCTAAAGCTCTGCAACATAAAACATATAATTTAAAGTAACTGGCAAGCACTTAGTAGTGTTACCTTAACTGTTTGGATCACATAAAGCTTCTAGTGTGAAACTGGTATGTTCTCCCCATGTCAGTATTGATTTTCTCTGGGTACTTCAGTGTCCCCCATAAACCTGCAACATGCACAAAAAGTCGATGCTCCAGCTCGTACTGACCAAGATCCTGGCTCACAATCAAGCCTTAATCAGTTACCCAGTGTTCTTAACAGGTTGCCCCAGTGGCTTTTTAAAATGAGTCAAAAGCAGAGGACAAATAAAGTCTACTTAATCTTCTAGAAGACAGCTGACAGTTGTCCGTATCTTGTAGGAGTGTCCTTCTCTGAGTTCGTGCTGGCTCCGGGGGCAGCAGGTCATTGTGTCCTATGACAAGGACCAGATGTTGAAGGAACATCCCCAGCTTTGGACCTCAATCCCATATTGGTACTTTACATTTTTAACATTTGTATTTAAAGGTTATTATTATGGAAATGCTTTTTATTGTACAGGTACGCAAATAGTCCAGACCCCAGGAAGGTCATCCAATATTTGGACAATCGGCTGAGTGAGGGGAGACCAGGTAACTCACACACCACAAACTAGTATAGGACATACATAGGCAAGGTGGGCGAAGTCTCCTGCCCAAGGACATAACATCAGTAGAATAGCAGACTTTTGTGAAAATATTCTAAAATGTATTTATTGGGGGAGTATTTGATGCATAATTAAACATATAGCTACATATCTTTAGTGCTGTCAAGCAATAAAAAAAATTGAGAGATTAATTATGATCTGTAATTAATTAATCTAAAAATTGCTGAGAAAAGCCCTCAACTTGAGGTATTTTCATTTAAATTCATTATTACATTATTGTGGCAGATCAAAAGACTGCTAGAGAACAAACAAAAAGTGACTTTATAAAGTCATTTATTGTTTAACAAACTTTTAACAGATACAGTCACTTACATTCCACAGTATCATCATTATTATTACTATTACTAATCTGCAGTGTTGGGAAGGTTACTTTTAAAATGTATTCCCCTACAGATTACATATCCCAAAATGTAGTTTGTAATGTTTGTAAAGTGAGTAACGTAATCTGAATACTTTGGATTACTTAATATTGTCATGCTTTTTAAAACTACATGAATGTACCAACCACATCCTGAAAATTCTTGTTTGTTCTCTTCAAATTTGCTGTTGAGCCCAAGTCTCCATGAATAAACAACTGTTTGCTGTAAAGTAGCAAAGACTAGGAAATCTGAACATGTCTTCCCTTAACCATATTAAAAATATTACTGATAGAGAAATGCTTTATATATGAGATCACTGGTTTAGACCTGGTTTAGACCTGCTTTAGTCCTAGTTTAGTCCTGGTTTAGTCCTAGACTGGGTTAGTCCTGGTTTTAGTCTTGGTGTTAGTTCTGGTTTAGAGGCGCACAGGAGGAAGCGCGGTTTACGCAGCGTACACGAGAAAACACGGTCCACACGCAGCACATGGGAGGACGGCGGTGTCCGTACTGTAAGTATGGAAGGAGACATGATCCACGTGTGCTCAGGTTGATGACGATGATGGTGTGTGTTTGTGTTTGTGTATGTTTGTGTTTGTGTGCGCGTCCCCTCATGTCTCAGGTCACTATAGGACAGTACTGCAGATATCATGAGTCTGTGCAGGTTGTTTTCACCAGTGCCAGTGGCTCCGGTTTGACATTTAAGTTGTAGGCGATTTTATATTTGTTATTTTCTTTTATATCTCCTGTCGGGAGAAGAATTTCCAAGACAGAAATGTGTTTTTACCTGTGCGCTGCTGCCTCTGTTCTACTGGCTCTTCGACCTTAGTGTGTCAGTGTGACTGACGCCGCCAACGTGAACATGACGTTTACTGACGTTTACATTTACTCTTACTGCGCGCGTTCTGTGTGGGTTTCGGGCAATGAGTGGAATTACTGAAATAAAAAAATAAATAAATGTGTGTTTTTTTGTGTGTGTGTGTGTTGGTGTCCCAACAACACAAAAAAACAGGTTTTTATAATAAAGCAACTCATACGCATACAGAAACTGTAAAGTTAGAGATTAAAAATTAGATTAACGCGATTAAAAAACATAACGCTCTAAATATGACTGTAATTAATTAATCGCAATTAATTTGACACCCCTACATACCATATCTAGGACCCATTCCAATATCACTCATTTTGTTACCAAAATATCACCCATCCCTAATATTAAGTCTATCTCTTTCCTCCACCTGCTGATGTCATGAGGTGGTAGTCCTCAATGTTTTTAAAGTCCATAAAGCTTGACCATAGTTGTTCTGATTCTGGTCTTGTGTGTTCCAGAGAAATTCTTTGTGAGTGGACTAAACCTGACCGAGGACTTGGCCTATATCCTGCGACATCCCCTGCTTAACCTGCAGCGACTCACCCTGAGAGGACTGCCCCTGCTGCTGCGCTGGACCAACCAGCAGAGACCAGGAGCTCAAAGGGCTGGGGTCAACATCCTGTGCTCTGATTTCATTGGCCTCAGTCAATTCTGCTCCATCATAATTGGACTAAATTATAAAGTGCTGCATTCCACCTGAAATCTCCTGGGAGGTTGGACCAACTAATTTAGAGTTCTGGTTGAGAAATGTTCAAATTTATTTTTGTATTTTATATGTATAGATATTTTTCATGTATGTACGGGAGCCTTTTAAAATTATGATAAGAAAAGTTATTATTAATTGAAAGCATTTATTTGTATTTTTGCTTTTTTTTCTCTTCTGAACTTAAAAACATTGCACTTAAATGTCGTTTCACGCATCTTTATTGACTGCAGCAGTTCAGTGTTTGAGTCGTGGTCATACAGGTGGATAAGGGTGCTGGGTTTATCTACTGCAGTTCACAAATTTCCTTAAAAATATCAGTAAAAAACAATAACAAAATACAACAACAACAAAAAAAAAAGTTTCAGATACACTATTTAACATCTGTAACAGTGCATGGGTCATGTGGCTTCTCCCCTTATGTATGGTACACACCTACATTTGGAGGCATGTTTGTGTAATGCCAGTGAGGAGGTAAACAATCTACTAAAGTTCATATTTTAGCTTTGACCCTGGATAGGTTTTACCTGACGATGACAAAACACTATACTCTAATAATAACAATCGGCACATTGTAAGTATAAAAGCCATATTTACATAGTACCACGTAATCTGCAAATGCAGAGTCTATGCTGCTCCAGGCCCTGTGGGGAAATCACTATGGACTAGCATTTGTTTAAACTCTAGTATATACTTTTCACTTATTACTCACACACATTATTTGTGACTTAGCATAATGAAATTATGGATCCAAAATTTTTGACCGCTTCATGAGAGGCTGTCTCCGTGAGGCCCCTTCCTCAGCCCGTGCTGTGGTTGCTCACTAGAATCTCTGTGTTGTGGAGGTGCTCTCCTGTGAGTCTCCAGTGGAGCGTCTTTATGAACAAATGTGATGTGATTAGAGTCACTATGCAGAGCCCAGCCTGATGCTGAGCCCTAGGAGGCCCGGGAGCCCCAAGGGCCTCAAGAGCCTGTGAGCCCTCAGGGCCATCTGGGGCCCTGTCTGGGGGGACAGTCTAGAAGCTGGGGTGGTAGCTGTTCTCAATGCACAGTACTATGAGCGGGCTGGAGCAGCTGGTGGAGGTTTGTTGGAGCAGCTGGCCGCTCTGCAGAGCTGAGGACATCCCGGTCAGAGTCTGCTCTCCAACTCTCCATGTCTCACAGTAACTGTCCATGTGCCTCTGCCCCTCTGCTGTTGAGCCGTGCCACACCAGCTTCTGCGGCCTGCACCAAACACACACAAGTTTGTAATACAGGTCAAGATAGGACCACAGGGTCAGAGACCAGCCCTAGGACCTCATCCCTCACTCCTGGAGGCCACTCACCATGTGCTATCAGTCATCACGTTCTTGCCATCAAAGGAGTAAATGGGCACGTCCTTCATCCTGCCATTACTGAAGATGTTCTCCCAGCTGTCGAACAGGACCTCATCCTGACACAACAGAAAGCACTGCTGTAGTTTACATGTACCACTAGGTGGAGCAATGTGCTTTTGGACCCAGAGAGAAGTGGGAAGCTCAGATCCTATTAGTTATGTTATCAGTGTGTTGTCTGTAATAAACAGTATGTGACAAGAAAGTCACAATGTAGTACCTTGAGGTTGAGGATGGGGGCGCTCTGGCGGTCAGCTTTGCGCACGATGCTGTGCAGGTCCTGGAGCTTAGCGGACAGGAAGGCTCTGAAGGTTCCCTTCAGCCCGATGGCCTGGGCCTGGCTGAAGCACAGCAAGTCAGCCCTGTGGATGCCCCGCATGGCCCCCGTCTGAGGACTGTTCAGGGCCAAAAGGTGGAGCTGCAACACCAGATTACATCAAGGACTTAGGAGCATTCAGAGAAACAAATGTGTTACTGGTAGCCATATTCTATTCCATTGTGTTAAATTGGAGTCACCATTCTTTAGAACATTCTGTTGCAAAGACTAGGTTTACAGCAGTGGTGTTGTGATTAGCGTTAAATGACCTCATATGACACTAACACTGTTACAGTTAGCATAGTAACAGAGTGTTTTTGGCTCTGGCTTGTGTGGATTTATTTTATATATACACAGAACATGTGATGTGACATTAGAGAATATGAGGATGCTGTGAGCAGACTGACCCCTGGTCCACCTGTGTGCTGGTGCTGCTCCTGGGCGGGGGGTCTGTTGGGGGGCCTCTGAGGTGTTACAGGGTAGTAAGGGTAGTACCTCCGGTCCTGGGCCTCATGGATGGATGGATGGATGGTGAACCTACCATCTGGCTGGTGTATCCGCTCTGTGTAACTGGGGAAACGGGGGTCAGTGGGAGCAGGATACCGAGGATCAGGTTGGGAAGGGTAGCGAGGGTCAGGCTGAGAGGGATACCGAGGATCGGGCTGGAAGGGGTATCGGAGATCAGGCTGAGAAGCAGGCTGGGGTTCTGCCTGAGAGGGGGTCTGTGGGTCAGGATGGGAGGGATACCGAGGATCAGGCTGAGAAGGGTACCTAACATCTGGGGAGTAGGGGACAACTGGGGGTGGCACCACAGCAGCTACTTCATTTCCCTAAGAACACAAAAACTCATAATTAAGTTATCAGGGAAATGACAAACGGAAAGCACATGTATTGGGTGTACTTACATCTTCATAAGGCAGAGGAATGTAGCTCCCGAGCTGTAAATGAAACAAGCACACTGTACTTAACACAGCTGCACTGTAACCATGTGGACAGACTGTGTGAGGGAGTGTATGAGGCACCTGCACTTGGCGGACTCCGTCCCGGACACGGAGGTACAGGTCAGTCTTGTCTAGAACATAGACCAGGGAACCCTCAGGCTGCCCCCGCGCTGTGGCTCTCATGGTATCATATGTGCGCAGAACTGTCACCTGCAACAACCAGTTCTCAACGTCCTCATTTGCAGACATTAGAATGTATATGCTGTGGGTAAAGATGTCTGTAAATACACATTTTTTATATGAAAATAAACTGATTTAGCCTGCTGCCAAATATAACGCAGGCTTCAAATGTGATGTAGTCACTCTCCTGGGAGTCTGTGTCTAATCACACATACAATGCTTTGTTTTTAGTGAGGAACATGTAGTATTATTTAAGTGTTCAGTGTTGCATTTATACATAGTGTATGTAAATATGAAAATAACAGACCCCTGAAGAATGTCCAGGTACACCAGGTGCTCCAGGGGGTCCTGGGGGGCCAGGCATGCTGATGGCTGACAAAGAAAGTACTCCGTTGAACAGAATCATAGGGGGATTGTGCCGGCATATTTATGTTTATACTAAATCCAGTGAATAGGCCCTGAGGCCAGACAGTCTACTGACTCACTCTGTACACCTCGTCCATCTACAGATACGGTTGCTCCTGGAGGTCCGGGAGGCCCTGGAGGTCCTGGCAGGCCGTCATTGCCTTGTCCTGGAGGACCAGGCAGTCCTGGAAATCCAGGGGGCCCAATAATGGAGTCTCCCTTAGGGCCCTGAGGGAGAGCACAGGGATGTTAGTATCATTATCAAAATCAGAAATGAGCCTCCTGAAAAGACCAATATGTACCGGAGGGCCGGGCACTCCTGGAGATCCAAAACTAGCTCCGTAGCGAGGGTCGTAGTATCCACCACCTGGCTCTCCTTTCTCTCCCTTAGATCCTGGTTCTCCTTTGAAATGACCCTAGACAAGATGACATAAGCCATGAGACACTGATATGTAACAGAATAGACTTATGGTTCACTGCTCCTTACCCTCAGTGTGTGGATGTCAAATTGGGGGCCCCCTCCTATAAAGTGAATAATAAATTTGACTGAACTTTTTAAGTAAGTAAGTAAGTCCCCATTTATATAGCACTTTTCACAGACATTTTTGTCACAAAGACACTTTACAGAGCATATATTATTCATTCACTCTATACCTGGTGATGGTAAGCTACTGTTGTAGCCACAGCTGCCCTGGGACAGGCTGACAGAGGCACGGCTGCCATGCCAATCTGCGCCAACGGTCCCTCCAACCACCACCATCACTCACACACACACCACTTTGATAGTAGGCAATGTGGGTGATGTGTCTAGCCACTAGCACCAGTGCCGTGGACAGGTTAATTGATTGATTATATTTAATTGACCTTGACTATTAACTGTTCTTGGAGACCTGTAGCATGTTTTGGGTTGATGGGGGAAACCAGAACCATCCAGACACGGGGAGAAACATGCAAACTCCACACAGAAAGGCCCGGGTGACCCAGGGATCGAACCCTTTTGCTGTGAGGCATGAGTGCTAGCCACTCAGCCACCGTGCTGATTTTGATAGTGATTCTGATAGTGATTTTCACAGACATTTGTCACAAAGACACTTTAAAGAGCATTATTTCATTCACTCCACACCCAGTGGTGGAAACTTACTATTGTAGCCACAGCTGCCCTGGGGCAGACTGACAGAAGTGCAACTTCCATGCCAATCAGCACCATCGGTCCCACTGACCACCACCATCACACACACACACACACACACCACTTTCATACTAGGAATGTGGGTGAAGTGCCTTGCCTAAGGACACAATGACAGTTTTTGTGACTGATGCCCCCCTGTGGCACCTGATTTTCCCAGTGGTCTCCCATCCAAGTACTAACCAGTCCCAGCCTTGCTTAGCTTCTGAGAGCTTCTGGTATGTCCACATACACATCACAAAATTATTTGATGTTGAATTTAGAGTACCTGGCAGACCTGGAAAACCTGGCTCTCCACGATCACCCTTGTCTCCTTTAGTTGCTGTTCAGGAAAAAAGACCACAGTTATAATCTGATGTTCCACCAGTTGGAGGTGATGACAGCCCACAAAGACTTGGAGAGGACATGTAAACTCATCACAGAAAGACCTCAGCTGGTACAGGAATCAAACCCAGGACCTTTGTACTGTGAGGCAAGAGTGCTAGCTACTGTGACCTCCTTTGGGATAAAAATAGTAGTGGAGGACATGCAGGAGACTCACCTGGATAGTGCCTGGAGTGGTCATCATAGCCCTGAAACCCAAAGAAACACATTTAATATTGGTTGAAAACATAGTAAAAAAAACTTTGATGACTCAACTCACCGTATGTGTGTTAACATAAGGTGCAGGGGGCCCAGGAGGTCCGGGGGGCCCAGGGGGTCCAGGAGGCCCCTGAGCAGAAGCAAGACTGAGTACTGACCCTCTGAAAAGTACTATAACACATGTTCTGTACTTACAGGGTATGAGTATCCTCCGCTGGAGTCGCCTCTCTCTCCTTTGAGACCATTGAGCCCAGGTCGGCCCTAAGCACACATGCACACACGAGAAATGAACTCCACTGATGAAACATGTTCCATGTTCTACACCACAAATCCAGAGAACTTACTGGACGACCAGGGAAACCAATCTCTCCCTTTTGTCCTTGAGGTCCAACAGGGCCCTGAGGAGACATCGGAGTTAAAACAGGGCCAAATTAGGTCATTATGGATGAAAAACAGAGTGGTACATACTGGGGGTCCCATGGGTCCTGGGGGCCCTGGATCCCCCTGTAAAAAACACAAAGTTAGACAGTGATCTAACATTTCAGAAGATAAGATACGTTATAATGAAATTTGTACCGGTTTTCCGGCAAGACCACCCAAGTACATGGGTCGCCCGTCCGGCCCCATGATGATGCCAGGTTCACCTTTCTCGCCCTGAGCACAGCACATGGGTTACAACAGAGGCTACACTCTCACTCCAAATGTATTCATTTCAGTTAATGGAAATACCTTCGGGGCGAAGCCAGGAGGGCCCACATCTCCCTTGTCACCCTTCTCTCCTACTGGCCCCTGCAAGGACACAAGACTCAGTATCTCATTTACATTTATAGGTCTCATGGTGCTTCAGTTTAAAGACATACCGGAGATCCTGCTCTCCCCACAGCACCGTCTCTCCCCTGAAATCAAACCGTCCATTAAACAGTGAAACCATCTGAAAGTGACACAATCTTTCTCCAGGTGTCATGTGATGGGCAAAGAGCTGCACTCACCTCCTCCCACCCTTCGCTCCAAAAAAGGTCGTTATACTACAGCAAGAGAGTTAGGCTCGTTAGTACAGTGTGCAGTGCAGGTCAGTGCAATGTGCAGAGCAGGTCAGTGTGGTGTGCAGAGCAGGCCAGAGTAGTGAAAGTTAGTCAATATAAATATTATTATTAGATTGTTATTAGTGGATGAGTTTTGTGTGTTTTGAAGCTGATACTATGTCAAAGTCTTACATCGCCTGCAGATTGGTAGATTATCTGTCCTGGAGGCCCAGGAGGGCCAGGAGGTCCAGGTGGGCCTCCATCTCGACCGGGTAAGCCCTGGAAAACATATATCATATTACACTCTACCTCATTGTACAGACAGAGACATGCTGGCACTCACCATTTCTCCTTTGGCTCCTTTGTCTCCTTTAAATCCCTGAAAAAACACACCTGTTAAAACTCAAAAACAAAAATCTGCAAACCAATGAGAGCTGAGTGGACCCTACTTCCTGTCCTGGGAAGCCATCCTGGCCTGGGATCCCAGGAGGACCACGGGGGCCTTCAGCACCCTTGTCTCCATGGTTACCGGGTAAACCAGGCTTCCCCTGCAAAAGATTTGTTTTTTTTGTCATTACATGCGATTCTACAAAACGAAATCTGAATTTATAAGCTGTGATAGACACTGGAGGTGTGGTTATGGGAGTGGTCACATGTACAGGTGTGGTTATGGGCGAGGTCACATGTACAGGTGTGGTAATGGGAGGAGTCACATGTACATCAACCTAGATATCAGACCATATAAGCCACAATAAAATGATTTCAGGGTGAGGTTCTTTTTCTAACACATTAGAGGTTCACAGTGTGCTCCTACAGTAGGTTTGAGTGCAGTGTAGTGTCATACTTACAGGCAGCCCTGGGACACCAGGAGGGCCCTACACAAGCACAGCAAAGAGGCATTAGAAAATTAATAGAAAGACTGGCAACAAATGAAGCATAAAATACAAGGAGTAGTACCTCTGGTCCTGGAGGGCCCCTGATAGTTGATATACCATTGTTCCCTTCATCACCATCCTGGAAAACATTACATATATTAGATGTGCAATGGAAATAGTAGCTGTGACAGGTGTGTTTATGCTCACAGAGAAACCGTAGGGGAGGCCCGGAGGCCCCGGTGGTCCTGGAGGTCCCATTGGTCCCATTGGTCCTGGGAGACCTGCTAACCCGCTCTGACCAGGTGTGCCTGGCTGTCCAGGATCACCCTGAGCACCCTGTCACAAAATCAGAGTTAAGTGTTTGTGAAGAGAAGCAGGTGACAGCAGAACAAGAGTCTCTCACAGTCCACCAGGGGCCAAGAAACAGGAGAAATGCAACGGCAAAGGTGGTTACTACATTATAACTGCAGCTCTGTCAGTGAGTAGGGGAGGAAGACAGGGATCTAGTAGTGAGACCTCCAACTCTTTAAGAATGTGCATATATGAGGAGTAATCATATAGAATCAGAACACAAGTCAGAAAGAAGGAGACAGGAGCAGCCCGATCAGTACCTCAGAGGCGTTAGACAGCGAGTGGGCGGGGCTAAAGTAAGAGAAGAGCCCATCGAAAAAACTGGAGCCCTGGTAAAACCAAGAGGAGAGCTGAAGAATGGCACAATAGCACAGTAGGGTGAGAAGAGGGTCAGATCAGTGGACTCACCTTCTGCCCGCCTGTGGAGGAGCTCAAGTCTCCTTCACAGCCACAGTCTCCCTGTAAGAGCAGCACATAGTCATTACAGACCTGACCAGACCTGGACTTTTTTGTCTTTGAGCTTAGGGGCCCATAAAGAACCTACACAGTACCTTCTCTCCTCTGGGTCCAGGTTGACCAGGTGCTCCAGGAGGTCCTGGAGGTCCCTGTTTCAGTGCAGAATCCCAATTAGACAGATAACTATAGTTTACTACACAAACTCCAGGATCTGGTACTCACATGTAGACCAGGTATTCCATCCAGTCCAGGTGGTCCAGGAGGGCCAATGGCCACTGGACCATTGGCATCAAAAGTGACTGATGTCCCAGGAGGACCTGGGGGGCCTGGAGGGCCCGGGGGACCACGGGGGCCCTGTACAAAAGTGCAGTTAGCAAACATTATAGTACACTCACCTACATGAGCAGTGTGGGCAGGCATGATGCATTACCCGGATTTTGTCCATATCTGTAAATCCAGAGCCTTCCATATCCAGGAATGTCTAAGACACAACACAGTCACTCAAGACGTACCCTCATCTCACACCATCATTCACAGAAGTACCCTCATCTCACACCATCATTCACAGAAGTACTCTCATCTCACACCATCATTCACAGAACTACTCTCATCACAAACATCATTCACAGAAGTACTCTCATCTCACACCATCATTCACAGAACTACTCTCATCACAAACATCATTCACAGAAGTACTCTCATCTCACACCATCATTCACAGAAGTACTCTCATCACAAACATCACTCACAGAAGTACTCTCATCTCACACCATCATTCACAGAAGTACTCTCATCTCACACCATCATTCACAGAACTACTCTCATCACAAACATCACTCACAGAAGTACTCTCATCTCACACCATCATTCACAGAAGTACTCTCATCTCACACCATCATTCACAGAAGTACTCAGATTAAACTTACGGGTCGGTCACCAGTGCCCAGCCCTGGTGGTCCAGGGGGTCCTGGGGGCCCACGGGGCCCTGGTTGTCCCTCTCCACGCTCTCCCTAAATATAACAATACAGAAAAAACTGAATTAATTAAATGATTAAAGTATGAAAACGTTTATGTCTAGCAGCATCACCTTCTGTCCTTTGGCTCCAGAGCTGCCTTTACTTCCAGGAGGCCCTCGGGGGCCTGTTTGCCCCTGATACATTGGTAATAATGGTCAATATCACAAAATGTGTTGTGTTAAATTTGAGTGTATGAAGAGACTTACAACTTTCCCATCCTCGCCTGGATCTCCCTGTTCAGAAAGCCAAGTAAAACAAGTTTATTTCACATGACAGAAGCTGAGAAAATATTCCTCTTTCACTAACCGGTTCTCCGTCTGCTCCTGGAGGTCCTGGAGGCCCATCCAGACCTGGAAATCCAGGTGGTCCCTGGGGTCCAGGTACTTGCTGCACAACAGCGCCGTTTCCAAGTCGGACCACCTCTGCTGCAGGACCTGGGGCTCCAGGGAGCCCTTGTGGTCCTGGGAGCCCACGATCCCCTTTGTTTCCAGGGTAACCAATGCCTGAGCTGCCCTGGGGTCATTCAAAATACACGAAATGACACTAAGGAAAGAACATCGTCCATATGCTATAGACTCTCAGATGTCCACTGTACATAGGGGAGGCTTGTAAAGAAAACTGTTAAATACAAAGGATTTAATGGACAGGGACAATAGCAGTGAGACAGTGTCAAAGGCAAAGAAAACAACAAGCAGAAGTCCAGCAACACAGAGGTCAGACTGAACATCATAGTGTATTAGCTTGACAGTGTCAGAACAGAAGCCAGTTTAATTCAGCTGACAGACTCGTCACATCCCTCTGAGCTGACGACATCCAAACATCACTGGGAAAACTTTCCCCCTCAAAGCCTCTGCTCCTTCGTCATGTGTAAGCCCCGCCCACAGAGGAAACACCAGCCTCTGTCCTCCACTGGCTGTCCTTCTCTGTAGGCAGGGCTTAGACATGAGGCATAGAAGACTTAAGATTAAGTCATTCAAAGTAAAGGTAGATCAACAAGGTACGTCAAGTTACTCCAGAGTTTAAAAGTGAAAGTAACCCAAAGACCTGTGATATGGCCCACATCACTCATTTCATTTCAGTTATGAATAAGGTTATATCCACTGACACAGGTGTTACAAGTGGAATTCAAAAGTGATTAACCAAGACTCAACCAAGAATAAACCACAATTAATGAAAACTAAACCAGAACTTAATCAGGTGAAAACTAATTACAAGCCAGAACTAACCCAGGACTAAACCAGGTCTAAACCAGGTCTAAACCAGGTCTAAACCAGGATTAGGTTGACTGTCCGGTCTGGTTACTCACCTTTGCCCCTTTTTCTCCCTGAAAATGAGAAAACACTAGAGTGAGTCACATGACAATAGCAGACCAGATGCCCCACCTATATTGCCACTGCCAACCTACCCCTGCCAACCCACCCTACCTTCTGTCCCCGCTCGCCTCCCGCTGTGGAGGATCCGGATGTGTGAGCAGTTCCCGCCTCTCCTTTGGGTCCTGCGATGCCCCGGTCACCCTTGGCACCTTTCTCTCCTCTGTCTCCCTTCTCTCCTTTGGCCCCAACTGGACCTGAGGATCACATGACAGCACAGTTAAAGAGACCAGACCCCCAAAAGTACTCAAAAGGACTATTTCATTTCAGGCCTTGAAGACATTTAGAAATTTGTCCCTTGACCCATATATTTACAATGTTCTCATTAATGCAGAATCAAAAATTAGACTTGAAGGTATCTATGAAACCTCTGATGGTGGGATCTGTCAACTGCTTGTCTCCATGGAGATGTTATTGCTTTGTCTGAAATGTTCCACATAATGGCATTACATTTGCTATCATTTATTCGACTTCTTGCTGAAAGAGTATTTTTCTAATTCATTGTTACTTGAGTGGGGCTGACTCTCCACAGATCTGCCCTGGAACCTGTCCTGCCCTGGAACCTGCTTGACTCCATGGAGATTGAGAAAGTTACACCTATCTTTGTTTGTCCTTATATTATATCTTTGTTTTCCATCTAGATTCAATTCAGTTCAACTTTATTTACAGCACATTTCAAACAACTTCAGCTGACCAACGTGCTTCACATACAAGTCAACAAAAACAGAAGAAACAGTTACTGTACATATACAGATATACAGATAACATGTGAAAACTACAATAAAACACTAAGATAACCTGACTCTTAATTAAATGCTAGGCACAAGAGGTCAGTTTTCAGTCTAGTCTTAAACTGTGTTACAGAGCGTCTTGAGCCTAGTTTGGGGTATGACCAACAGGAGCTGGTCAGGTGATGTCATGGCTCTGGGTGGAGTACAGGGCTGCAGTAAGTCCCTCAAATAGACTGGACCCACAGAGTGCAAGCATTTGAACACAATCAATAATGTTTTAAATTGCACCCAATAAAAGACAGGGAGCCAGTGCAGGTTGATTGTTTTAAGTAAACTTATTCATTTCTTTGCTTTCCTTTTTCAACATTAGATGGGAAAGGATGACATAATATATCTGTCAAAAGTCTCAGTTTTTAAAATATGTATATACAGTTTTTAAAATATGGACATACAGTTTTTAAAATATGTATATACAGATAAGATATGATTAATAATAAAAACAATATTGTATGCAAATGAAATATAGGATTGCATCAGCTATATTAGACCATAAACCAGTAAATTATGTGTGTAAAGTATCAACTTTAAATCTCTAAAGTCCAACCCAACATGTCACCACAAATGATCCAATCATCTCGTTATACACCACTCTGTAATACAGGCATGTCTCCAGCAGAGGGCAATGCAGTACATGAAGCACAGTACGTGAAGTGCAGTACATGAACCTCATGACCCTAACCACAGGAGTCCCGCTCTCCAGCAGCTGGGATGGCACATTCTAACACACATAGAATGGCCCCAAAAGACAACATCCCCATGGCTCTCACATGCAGGGGCCACCGGGTACTCGCATGCAGGGGCCCCAGGGACTTCACACATACCTCTGGGACCCGGACGTCCAGCCCAGCTGTGGTCCACTGCAGGCTCTTTATATCTGATTTCTACAGTCACACAGAAGGCACATTCACTGATGCTCTGGTTCATTTTGTTTGTTTGTTATAGTTTTATTGATACAATGTTAAAAGTTCTATAATAGCAATATGCGGGGCAGGGAAAAGTATACAGGTTCTGTTCTGTATACAGTAAATATTTAAGTCTTTCTCAGTGTATAGACAGGCCTCATGTGAAACCTCCCTGAGCTGATCAGAGAGAGGCATTTTAGGTTTAAAGGGCCCATATTACGTCATTTTCTGATCTATGTTATAATATTGTTTCATTTCATTCACATGTTTAACAAAGTTAAAAAACTTGCATATTTAGGCTGAGCTCTTTTTTTTACACAGAAAACACTGCTGATGTCATGTGGTAATACAGGAAGTGCTCCACTGTGTTTTTAAACCCCATACACCTTCGCTAGAATCATTTAGATAATTTCAGCCTGGGAATTGCTAATCTCTTGTGAACAAAAGGTAAAAAGAAGTTGTTATCTTGAAACCTTAAAAAAAAAATTGAAAGAAAGCAGTGTAAACTTTGTCGAGATAAAAGCATGTCAGCTGTCAACAAATGAAGGTGATGTTAAAGACTGACATGCAGGATTACTCAAACATAAGGCAATGAAATAAAAGAGCTTCAGATATGTTTTTGATGAGGACACAACACTCCAGTGTATCTGCTCAAAATTTGGACACCCAATAAAATTGGCCCTAGACTTAGTTTTATACAATGCAGTAAAAACTATTATTTACTATTATGCAACTTAACCAGGCATGCTTTTGGTCAGTACTAATATTGTAGATTTGGAACTGAAAATGCTGGATTGTGACATCTATAATTATAGTAAATGTAGCAAAATTTTGCTCAAGGACACAACAGTAAACCCCACTTAAAGTGCATATGGCAGGTTTTCATAGTTTTCTAATTATCACTTGGTTTGCAAAAAAAAAGTGTGCAAAAAGTGAAATAACTCAACTAAATCTATATATTTATATTTTATATTCATATTCTCAAAGTAGCCACCCTTTGCTTTTAGTGGAGCTGTTAAGAACCAAAATAGTGCCCAATTGTTCACTTTTATGGCACAAGCATGAAACTTTGCCAGATTAGTAACATCTCTATAACCAACATTTCTGGATATGGAACCAAACCCAAGTCGACCCTGGAGCCGAGTACTGCGCATGTCATAAAATGGCTGACATGGAAAGAGGCTGGGAGCTAAATTATTGCTTAAACTTCATTTTTTTGGAAAATAATGTTAAATTATCATATAGGTTATAAAGAAGAATATGTATCAAGATACTAGCTACGTTCAATGCTGTTTTAAAGTGAAAGTAAACATTAAATAACAACAACAAAAAAGCTACTAAACTAATGGTGTTTTTTTAAAGGTGTCTGGAATGTTTAACAGTATGGCATTAAACCTTTCTATCTTCATGGATACTAAACAAGGCCAAATTACAGGTTAGACCTGTGGAGAGGCGACCTCGCTCACAGTCAGAATGCCTGTTTTTCTAGGTATTTTTGAGCTATAAAACCATCTGTAATTGAATAAATGTAAGGTAGAGCTGTTTAATGTCATACTGTGGAACATTCCAGGCAGAGCCATGACATCTCCATAGAAACAAGCAGGTGACGGACCCTGAATCAAAAAGTTACACAGTGCATCTTTAATAGTGTCATTTACTGATTCTAGTGTTTGTTTGGTAATTTTTGAGCAAATTAGGTAAATTAGCAGAAGAATCTGGACAACAATGTGTAAAAATGAGAAAGTGTGAACTCTAGTGGCCTCTGGGGTATTAAATACTATGTGACATCACGTAGGACTGCCCTGATTACAGCCAGGTGTTTCTGTTTACAAATCCCTGGTTGTAGGGGCGGAGTTTGTAGTGTGGATGCCTGTTAGACCACTGTTCCTTATACCCTCTAGCCCCGCCCCTCTATCCTTCACTCTCTTCTTTAGTCCTCCAGGTAACACTCAGTTTATCAGTGCTATTTGAAATGTGTTTGTGGGCGGAATTTAGGTGTTTAGTCCCACGTCAAGGCAAAAGTAAAACTTCATGAAAATAGTTTTGTGTAGGTTTGATTTTCTATCTTCATTTCTCTCTCCCCCCCTAATCTTTCTTTAGCCTGTATATTTAATGGTTAAATAGGCTCTTCTGTGAGTAAAGTGCAAGTTCAAGAGATGTGTGAAGAATCCCTCAGTCATCCAGGTAGAATCCAACTGTACAATTACAGTTACACAGCAAAACATCTACTCAGTGACAAGTACTACTGCAAAACTTGTGCTTGAGTAAAAGTATAAAGTACACACATAAAAACTACTAACTACACTGTAGTGATTAGCATTTTATTTAAGACTTTGTATATAAAACCTGAAACTGACTTAAGTTTCTTTAATGCAGTCTTGTTATAGATGTTATGCCTGCTTGTTACCACGGGGATTTCATTGCGTTGCCTGAAATATTCATCAGTAAGGCATTAAACCTATTTATATAACCTATATATAAATGTATATAACCTATATAACCACCTCTCCATAGATCTGACCTGTAAACATGGCCTGGTTGCGCCACTGTCTTAGATAGATAAGTTTAATGCCATACTGAGGAACAATATAACACTGCCATTTTTGCTCCCAGCTCATCTTTAATACTACTAACAAATTTATGCCCAAAAATCCCTTCCAACCCATCACAGTATCATAATAACAATAATGACAAGAGCAGAGGAGGACAGCTCATTCCAGTAATCCTACACCAGACTGAAAACACCTTTCAAACTGTGGAGATGGTGATTTGGGATTATGACCAAATTAAGACAAGATTAAACCAGGTTTTGTGACAGATTTTGTCATATTTTCATTGTAGTCTCTCAATCTGGAATGAGAAAATGGAATGATGATATGGATTGTAATAAAGATATAAACCCATTATTAAGACCACAAATGTACTATGTTTTAGTGACAAAAATTAAAATTAAAGTTGAATTAAATACACATTTGCTTGAACTGCTGAAATAATGCCCCCCCACCCATGCAATTTAACGACTTTAACAGTGCACAATATAACATTTCCAGTGGAAGGTAAGATACCTGCTTGTCTCCATGGAGATGTTATTACTTTGCTTTCACAGTATGACTTTAACCTTATCCATCTCCCTGGTGACAAGTAAGTAAGTACTTTTATTTATATAGTGCTTTTAACAGACATATGTCACAAAGATGTTTTACAGATCATTATTCAGTATTATTCATTAACTCCAGATCCGGTGGTGGTAAACTACTACTGTAGCCACAGCTGCCCTGGGGCAAACTGCCAGAAGTGTGACTGCCATGCCAATCGGCGCCATCGGTCCCTGTGACCACCACCATCACTCACGCACACACCACTTACATACTAGGCAATGTGGGTGAAGTGCCTTGCCTAAGGACACAATGACTGGCGTCCCACAAGCAATAGACCCGCTAAATGTAAGAATGTCTGCATTTTAGGTATTTGAACAATAAACACATTTTCAATCCTTAACTGAATAAACACAAGACTGATTTAATGCCATACAGGGAAAGATTCCAGCCAAAGCTATAACATCATGAAAGAAGCAGGTTGTGGACCCCCAACCAGAAATTATAATGCACCATTAAGAATTTTAGTATTTTAAGACACCACCTAGCCCTGCAGATTGGGGATGAAAGCGTGATGACAGTCACTAGTTACAGTTGTGGACCAAGCTCCACCAGGCAAAGAACGTGCTATGAACTCATCAAGTGTGGATGCAGAAGCCTGTGCTGGGTGATGCAAGTGTGCAAAGAAAAATGTGGCATGTACAGATTCATGCAAATGTGGCAGCAGCTGCACTTAAGAGCAATTTGAATAAATTTAACGATTTAAAGAAAATCTCTGATGTTTTTAGGGTTATGCCTCACATCCATGCAGCATTTAATTACCATTGTGAAACATGATGAGGCACTTACAGGTCATTAGAGATGTTTAAATTGTTTTTGTTATCAAAAACCCATTAAATATGGCTTTGAAAGATAAAATATTGTATTAACTTGGATTTCAACCATGACATTACAAAATGGATAACAAAGCAAATTAGAGTGTAAGAAAGGGATTATGCAGTGTTTTTTATGCCAGCCTCATTTTCATACAGTCCATTTTGTGACATGCACAGTTCTTGGCTCCAGGTTCGACTGAGGCTCAGTTCCATATCTAGAAATATTAGTCCTGGGGGTGTTAGTAAAGTGGCAAAATTTCATGCTTGTACCATAAAAGCAAACTATTTTAGACCTTAATAGCTCCACTGTTTGTCAAGAGCACTGCAAACCTTTGGCCTTCTCTCTCTGAACAGCTTCATGAAGTCTCCTGAAATGGTTCTCACTTCATAGCTGCACCATATCAGGGTCAAGAAATGCCAAAAGTGCAAACCAGGGTCCAAAGCAAATGGTGGCTTTTTTTTTTTGAAATCTAAAGAGTTAGATTGAAATTATATTGTAGATTCTCACTGAAGGCATCAAAACTATGAGTGAACACATTTGGAATGTAGTAAACAAAAATAAACTTAATGTGAATAATCATGGAAATAAAGATTAAGGCCTAAATGAAAAAGTGTGTACACACTTTTGATGGATCATGTTTTACATTATTTAAGTGGTTTCTGGAATAAAAGTTGAGAAGAAAAGTAGAAATACAGAAGGAGTGAGTCCTGAAACAGAATCGGCCTAACTCTACACTATGTATGTCATCAACACTGAAAATGACATCCAAAACAATTTTTTTCTTTCTGACAGTTTAAAGCTTCATTTAACAAAATAAAGGTGTTAAGATTTATTTTTACCAGTCTAATAATAACTTCCTTTGGTAACACTATGGTTTCTTTACAGAAAAGAAAATGTATGTCTTTTCTGTAAAGAAAAGACATACATTTTCACAATGGCTGAAAGTGCTGCTCTGTAGGTATGCGGAACTTCCAATTAATGGTTTTCTGTAGCATAATGTCTGTGTGAATGTGTGTGTAAATGTGTGTTGTATTCTCCAGCAGCTTCATAAATCTGCCCCATCACCAAATCTTCAACCAACAAACTCCACAAAGGATAAACATTCTTCCACGACAAATTTATCCACAACGACCAAGGGAAGAAAGACAAAAATGTAAAGGAAACAACGGCGACACATTAGTGACACACTGAACAAAACTAATGTTATGGTCATGAATAAAACAGTAACTTGTTCACTCAGACTGATTCTACAACTAAACTTAAAAATCGATTTCATGATGTGGATATTAGCATAGATAGATAGATTTGTGTAGTCGAAATCTCTATGATACCATAACGCTAGTTTTGCTCAGTAGTTCACTAATGCTAGTCACTGTTCGCCTTTAAGCTTTCGTCTTTCTTCCCTTGAGTGTTGTGGATAAATTCTTCGTGGAAGAATGTTTATCCTTTGTCGACCTTGTTGGTTAAAGATTTGGTGATGGGACAGATTTATGAATTATTTGCACACACATTTACACACACACTTTGAAACAGAAAACCATCAACTGGAAGTTCCACAAACCTACAGAGCGGCACTTCTGGCTGTTGTGAAAAACGTCTAAATGTATCTCTCCTCTATGGGCCTAGGCCTCTATGTATCTGCTACCCGGATTCAACCAGGAAATAAAATAATAAACTTCACCAAAGTTAGAAAAATTTGCAAAATATTTTGTAAAATCTCAATATAATTGTGTTAACTGTGTTACACTGAAAAGATTAATCTAACCTCATATGCACTTTAAAGGTCCTATATAACACAAAACTGACTCTTAACCTTTAAGTCATGTTATAATGTTTTTACCTCATCAAAAACAGACCTGGAGTTGTGTTTTGTTTCATTCACACATGTCTGAGTAACATTTTACTATTAGTCTGTCTACATCTCCAAAAGTTAAAATGCTTTGTTCCACATGTCATGAAGCAGTAGTTTTCAAGTGAACAGCTACCATCTACCTTTTATTTAGTAGTAGTTTAAAAACAAAGTGGAGCAATTCCTGTAGTACCATATGACATCACAAGGTGAAACAGTAAGTGGAGTTGTTTCAGTTTGAGATAAGAACACAGCCTACAATAAATACACAGGGTTTATGTGTTAAACAGCTGATTGAAACAAAACACAACTCCAGGTCTGTTTGTGATGAGGAAACAAGATTGTTACATAGAGCAGAAAACAGCACAATACATGCCCTTTAACCCACTGTGGCATCTGTATAGTAGATCTACACGATCCTGCAGTTTGATGTTGCTTTAACAGGGCCTTCACGCAGGAATCCGCCCCAGGCCCGGACAGGCCGTGGCAGAGCTCCACACGCGGAGGGATTTTACCTGTCATCCTGCCCCCTTTGGACGCCACGATGGGAGGCTCCGGGACCGGCCGCAGAGAGGGGGGGGTGGTCTGAAACACAACACAGCCATAGTTCAACAGTGTACATGAGCTGGGAGGCGGTGAGCGATGGATATCAGGAGACACGTCAAGATAGTCCTATTCCACTTTTCACAAATTTGTAGCCCGCAGACAGTAGTTTTCACATAGCATTTAGGCTTGAGTGTTTGCACGTATAGAATGTATGATAAACAGATAGATGTTTTAAAAGTGCATTGTGGAGAAGTTATTTCTAGGGGTGGGGTCAGACAAAGTTTACAAAAGAGGAGACATAAGATTTGGTCCACGAGATAGGACAAGATTTTGAAATAGTTTAATAAATCAATTGTGTGACCCCGTTTGCAGTTCTTACAATAAATATTTTAGAGATGTCTTGTGTACTTTTATTTGCCAAGAATCTATGTCCATCCATTTGGGTTTGTCACAGTTAACTTTTAAAGCCATAGGGTGACCAGATTATCATAATTCTAAACTGGGACACACCCAGGTTGGGATGGCTAATATAAATAAAACTGTGAAAAAGATGGGTAACATTGTGGATTCTCCCATGAGTGGTTTTGTGTATTTTGGCTAAAGAAATGACAATTTACGCTCCTCTTTACTGTTGGTGAGGATCAGATTAGTCAAAAATTGTGATAGTCCTGTTTTGGTCCTGGTTTAAACCTGATGTAGTCCTGGTTTAGATCAATTTGGTCATAAATAGGAACACCAGGGACATTTCTTGTATAAAACTGGGACAAATCAGAGGTTTTGTATAAATCTGCTGGGGCAGAGGACACAGGGCTCCAAACTGGGACTGTCCCTGGTCAATAGGGACATCTGGGGCCTCATTTATAAAGCTTGCTTACGCAAAAATCCGTGCGTGCGTGCTTCCTACGCCAACCGCGGTATTTATAAAACTCGCCTAAGGCGTGGTGGCTCTTTGCTTAACTCTACGCCAACTCGGGACCTCCTGTAAGTTCTACGCAAAGTCTGGAGACACGGGGGAAAAAGCGACACTCGTGGAGAGAAGCAGAAGTGAACAGAGTTTGAGGAAGTGTTTGATCAGAAAATCCACGTATATAGAAGAATTACCTTCTGATTTGCGCATTTAAGTGTTTGGTTCGCCAAAATACGGAGAAGGGCTGTTTATTCCACTCATTATTCTCCACAATATTATACATTTGACACTCGTGCACGAGCGCGGCCACGTTCCCGGACTCGGTGTAGCGCAGAGTCCCACAGTCCACACCGCGACCATAGACTTCTATAGAATACTGACTGTGACCAACACAGAGGACGAAATAATGACCCGACCTGAGAGAAAACTCTTCCCTTGGACGCAGCAGGAGCCAGACTTTGATTTAATGAACGCAACTTTAACACTTTTACTTTAGTCTTTACGCACCGAGCGCCAGAGTGACCTGAGTCTGCTGACAACACGAAGCCTACTGCCCAAACCTGACCCCAACCAAAATCTTCCCTACATTTCTGTGTAATGGAGAACTCTTGTACATGAGAGCTGCTCTCTGACTGTATGAAGAACAGAATAATGCCCGTGCCCGTCCCGACCCAGACCCACACTCACAGACCCAGACCCACACTCACAGGTTCAGCAGTTTGGATGTTTCGTGTGGACTTTAATTGGCAGAATAACATCTGTATCTGATGTGTTTCGTGGTAAATCTGTGTCCTCGTATCCTCGTGTCCCTCCCTCGCTCCTTTCCCTCTACAGGGGAGGGCATCTGAATCTCTCGCACGCGCTCAAAATTTGACCATTCAGATCAGCGCGTGCACGTATCTACGTGTATATGCAAATATATACAGGGCCAGTCCACATACACACATCATAGACAGACAAAATATAGCGATAAAACTTGAAACAGCGAAAAAACACATGGGCTTTACTGCAAAGATGTGCTGCCTAAATATTATAAAAAATGATTAAATGAAAAGATGAGTCATTGTTGTCACTTTTAGTTTTGTATTTATTTATTAAACCTTGTTTAATAAAGTCTTTAATAAAGTCTTTGTCGTGATCACGTGGTGCTGTGTGGAGCGTCCTCCTCCCTCTGTCCCGCGTGTCTCGGTCAAACCCTCTGATTATCGGCTCATGTTTAGGGAAATCTCATTCACGAGTCACTTTACATGCTCCTTTTATGGTGAGGTGGAGGTGTGGAGAGGGCGTGACGTGACGTAGGTTTACGTGCGCAAATTGTAGTTGCAGGTGGGATTTTTAAAGCAAAGATTGTGTGGTTTGGTGCGTGCGGTGGGTTTTCTAAATATGGAGTTTGCGTGGCGCACGCCTTGTCGTAGCTACTAGGTGTACGCACTAACTTACGACAACTCCTGCGCAGTTTTTATAAATGAGGCCCCTGGTCACTCTACACAAACTTTAACTGGAAAAGGCATTAGCAATTAGTAGGGATGTAACAATAACCGAAATACCGTGATATCGTATAGAAAAAAGTTTCTTTTTTTAAATGCAGGTTTTATAATAGCAACAGCTTATGAACATCGGAAACTACATATCCCATGATTAATTTCAGTGCAGACAACCTGAAGTTATATGGTTTTTACTTGAATTCTTGGGATTATGATGGAAATAATTCTCAACAAAATCTTGTAAGGCTATTTTAAAAGTAAAAGTATCCTATCTACAATTAAACTAGCCTCTCAAAAATATCGCAATAAATATCGTACCAATGAGATGCATATTGTGATAATATCGCAGAGATTTGGATTTCGTTAGATCCCTAGCAACTGCTATAGATTATAACGGTTACAGAAGAATGAAAAGTGAGCATATTATCTTGGTGGTGGAGTCATTACACACATTTTGCTTTGTTATTGTAAGATCTTATATAGATGCTTATATAGCTGCGTATTATACTAACTTTGACTGTGTAGCTCGTTTGTGTCCGTTCTCCATCTCCACTGCCAAAGTCCCCAGATGCCTATAGAAACAAAAACACACCACATTTATAAGCTCTATTATTAGATAAATGCAAGCCCAGGGAGAATGCCAGTGGGTCTCACGGCTTATTTGTTCTCAAGGACTAAAACTCAAAACGCGTGCACAATTTTGGAAAAAATCTGATGAGATTGTGATTAGATTTTCGAACTATTTAAAAAGTAGGACTCTGTTCAGAGTGCACATTGTAAACAACCCCAGGGGCATTAACACACTGCCAAGAAATTAGAAAAACCAATACAAGAATCTGAACTACATGTACAACAAGATGTTTCTATAAATAGACAGGAGATTTTGCTCTTTGCTGAGGCTGTTTTGGTTCGATTTTGATATATTGTGCAGTCCTATTCAAAACTACAAGTGTGCTAGAGTAATATTTGGTGATGAGAAATGTGGTCCTCACTTACAGTGTCCGAGTCGTCATCTCCGTCACAGAGGCGCTCGGCTTCTCTTGGGTTCCCCACCAGCCGCATCTCCAGAACCTCACCCTGAAATGAAAGGGATCTTTATTTTCATTCATTTCTGTGAATAGATGAACTGTGAGCAAACATATTTATCAGTCCTAGACAGTGGTGGAACAAGTACTCAAGTTTGTTACTAAGGCTATGTTCACACTGCAGCCTGAAGTGACCCAAATCCGATTTTTTGGCCCCTATGTGACCTGTAACTCATGTTTTAATGACAGTCTGAATGACACAGATCCGATTTTTTCAAATTGCGACCCAGGCCACTTGGATATGTGCTCCTAAATCCGATACATATCTGATCTTTTGACATGTGACTTCAGTCTAAATGGCCAAGGCGCATTCATTGGACCTACACGTTGTCACACGGTGGACTTGGCTATGCCAAAGAGGTTGGCTATTGTGTGGTAACAAGCACCTCACGGAAATAAGCCGCTGAAGATGTATTTCCTCCCTCGAGAGTAGGCACTCACAAATACACACACAAACGTTCTTCTCGTCATACGAAAATTGTTAATGAACTCTGTGTGACTGAAGTGAAGCACATCACAAACCTACCACTCTTGGCTACGTCTCTGCATCCACACGTTCCTTTCAACAGACGTTGCTGCCACTGCCCCACAAAATGTGAGGGCCAAAAAATTCATCTTTCTCCTCAATCTCCTCCTTAAAACAAGTAAGTTGTACATGTTCTGGCTCCGGTACAAGAGGAACTTTAAAATTGCCAGGTACTCAATGCTCGCTGCGGTTGACGTCGTCGTGTCCTCCAGTGCGCATGCGGGACACTTTTGGGCCATTTAAATGTTCACACCGGAGATCACATACAATCCATTAAATTGGAAATGTGAACGACCTCGCCAAAACATCAGATTTCATTAAAAAAAATCTGAATTTAGCATTAAGCCCTGCAGTCTGAACATAGCCTTAGTGTACTGATTCAGGAGCAAAGGAATTCCTTTAAAAAGTATTGAAAGAAAAATCTAAAGCAATTTAATCAATGTGATTATTACTCTAATGCACTTTATGTACCTTAACATAAAGATGTCACCTTTGAATTAGTCCTACCTGGAACTTGTCTGGGTCTGCTCCCCCAGCTTGGCCTATGAACACCCCTGAGGCCTTGTCCAGGTCCATGGGGTCGGGGGAGCGCTCGAAGCGAATGGTCTGAGGGGCGGAATCACAGCCGTGGTAGAAGGTGACCTCCTCCTCAAACACAGCCAGAGCAAAGCGGGACCACGTGTTCACCATGCTGGGCACTGTGAAGCTTGCAGCCTCATACGAGCCCTCAGAGTCAGGCTCTGTGTAGAAGAACTGCACCTTCTGCTTCCCATCTCGCACTGCACTCAACTTCACCCCCACATACATGATCTTCTGAGGGCCGTCGGTGAGTGCCAGCAGAACTGACGCGGAGCTGGACGTGGGTTTGATGTGGAAGAGCATGGAGAAATACCTGTAGAAGGGGTTGGGCAGCAGGGCCAGAGCAGGCTGTCCTGACACAGAGCCCCTGCTGAACACATAAGAGGACTCCCCCCGCGGGCCATACCCCCGACTGCTGCTGTCCCACGAGCCCTCCCCCAGGAGCTGCAGGAACGTCAGGCTCCGCTCACCTGCACACCACACAGCAGTTGACTCTGTCAGTAAGTACAAGGACCTCATCATATTTACAAGAGCCATTCACTCTCTGCTCTCTGCATATTTTGATTAAATGCATTTTTTTTCCCTAAATTAAGACTAAAACGATACTTTCACACACATTTAAGACACACTGTTATTACTGGACAGTGCATGTTAATTAACATCATTGGTACACAAATCAACAAACAAGACTGTAACCCAGGCCTAACTCTCAACTGTTGTCTTGTATAAACTAACACACACATTCATACCAATGAGACACAGAAACTGGAGGTGGGAGTGTGTCTTGCCCAAAGACAAAAGGCGCAGTAGGGATTATATTTTTACTGCCCATATCAGGTAAAATAGCCACTAAATTAGTGTGTGATTATTTAAACAGAACAAAAATAATGTACAAATCTGTTTTTACCAATACCAAGGATTTTAAACTAACCTACAGCAGAGATTGTCGTGCGAGTAACAGCTCTGGTCCACATTAGGGCATGTGTCAAGCTAAAAATTATGATCAATATTAATATGTATAACAGCTTTTCCAGATGCTCAGAGTCACTTTCAAATTCTCTGCATTATTCATTCACTCCAATCTCAGTGGAAAACTACTAATGGAGCCACATCTGCCCTGAGGTTGCCTGAAGAAAGCAAGGCTGCCAATCTGCACCATCGGCCCCTCTGACCACAACATGCATACACAGGCATGCTGGGTGAAGTGTTCTGCACAAGGACACAACTATAATATACCTTTTTTATCTTTTAAACTGTTTGAACAAGTCATGCATGCTTTTATTTCATCACATCTGGACGACTGTAACACACTTTATTTTGGCATCTCACAAAACACACTTTATCAACTAAAGTTAGTCCAAAACTCTGCAGCACAACTTTTAACAGGAACCAAAAGTAGAGAGCACCCCAATTACCCCAATCCTTGTATCTTTGCACTGGCTTCCTGTTCATTTTAGAATTGACTTTAAGATTTGATTGTTTGTTTTTAAAGTTTTGAATGGACTGGCACCATGTTACAACTCGGACCTCGTCCAATACGGCCCCAAACTCTGGAACACTCTGTCCCCTCACGTCCCAAACAGCCCCCACAGTGGAGAGTTTTAAGTCTCGTCTTAAGAACCACTTTTATTCTCTGGCTTTTAACACTGTGTGAGTTGTGTGGTCCTCTTTGTCTTTTATTTATCTTTAATTTATTTAATTGGTTTTATTTACAGTATTTATTGCTTTTCTATGGTTTTGATTTAATTTTATTTATCTGGTTTTATTGCTTTAAAACTAGTATGATTAAATATCTGAGTGTTTGTTTTATCATTATTTGATTATTGTTGTTATTATTATCATGTATTTGTGCAGCACTTTGGAAACTGTTTATGAAATGTGCTATAAGAAATAAATAAATTGGATTGGAAGTTAATGCACTGGTTGGAGCAGGAATTAACTGCCAGCCTTCGCGCTGGGTGGTGAACGCTCCAACCACTGTAATATAATAGGTTATCACATATTTCCATAACCAAATATTATGACAAGATCTAACAAGATCTCATCTGCAGATATCGTCTTGTCATCATATATCTTGTAAAAACATGATCAAATCCATTCTTTTGATTTTGATGTTGTGTAAACATGATCATATCTTTATAGTGAGTAAGCAGCAGCGGTGTGTTTCAGTACAAAACCAGGAATAGAACAAGGTTTAGGAAAGCACAACATTGTGGTTCTTTTAATAGTTAGAACATGTCTCCCTCACTATACTGCTGATTTATCACTTTGGTGCCTCCAATTTGAGCTTTAAGTTGAGAAGCGTATAGCAGAGGAAGTAGCACAGAGCAGCAGTGTGTGGGAAATTGGACAGGACAGAGTGGACACAGGGACAAAGGCGTCCCTAGAGTTGGACACTTGATTAATGTCCCATATGGAAGCTGTAGAGAACTACTTTCCCAAGAACAATGACAGTTTTATGGAGCTCATTTTCATAGCTCTTAACTGTACCAGCAAATCACACCAAAAAGACCAACATACCTACAAACAGGATTGTCAAAGTATTGAAAATTAAGATACTAATCCATACTAAAACTCATTTGAACAAGTATCGATTCTAAAAACCTCACATTCATCATACAGAAATGAACTTTTTCTGAATATCTTTAGAATGATATTGAGTTGTATCTGTATATGTATAAGATCACATAGAGTAGTAAAGACTAGGGGTGTACAAAAATATTGTAATTAGGGCCCGACCAGTAAGGATTTTTATTTTTTTTTGTGGCCAATATGATACCGATAAAATGGGAATTGAAGGAGCTGATAGCTGATATAAAAGCCAATATATTTAGTGATGTAAAAATTCACTGTAAATCTTCACTTGATTATAACACTTAAATTTTGCTCTACAGGATTTTAAATTACGTTTATTTAGGCTACATTTATATATGTGTAAATGGGGATCATTCACACCTATATACACAGCTCATTTACATATCAGTGCAGGTCCACTAACATGTACAGAAACTATAGTCACTTTACACTAGGCCAGTGTAAGAGAACCTTACACAGGCTCCTCTCAGATTACAAGTCTTCACAAATAAGTGTCCTTTCAATCCCGACTCAAAACAGTCGTCCATAAATATAATATAATCCAGCATGTAGACAGCAGATGTGTGTGTAAACAAGCACACTTGAGTCACATGAGTCTGGTGTTTTCAGGAGCAGTATGGAGTCACAGACATAGACAGATGATACCGCAGATAAATATTGATGCAGTGCCACATATTAGGACATTTATCTGGCTGTAATTTGGATTAAATGGACATAATATAGTCTAAACTTTATAATGAGGTATAACATGCCCACGTGGATTATCCGCCCATATGAGCAAGATTTAGGCTGATTTCCAATATGTCTCCAAGTGCCCGTATCAGCCAGTAATATCGGTCAGCTGATATACTGGTCAAGCCCTAATCGAAATATCAATATATCATATTGTTTAATGTGATGTCACAGTATCAATATCGTCGACTGCTGTATCGATATATCGCCAAGAGTATTTTTTGGTATATTTTACTGCTACTGCTACTTACAGTGCAACAGTTTTGTTGCTTATCTAGTGGAAGAAAACTCGTTTATGCAATACATTTGACATTTTTCCTCTTCTGATGATTCAAATATTTGTGTTTCATATTTACTTTGCACAAGAAGTGGTTTAACAAAGATTTTTAGTATGCCAGTCATCATTTAGCCTTTATTTTATATTGAACTGCATTGAATCAATTTGAAATATATCATATCAAATCAAACGCTCGCTGTATCGAGATATGTATTGTATCGTGGCCTATGTACCGAGGCATCAGCAACATCTTAATGATACCCAGACCTAGTATAGACTTACCTGGATGACTGAAGAATAACACAGATATTAGACCACATGGGAATATAAAAGAAAGTACTATTATTTATGCTGAAAATCACATCACTCTTTTTAATTATCATTGTGGTGTCAGAATCGGTATTAAGTATTGAGTCTATTCCTTAGTATCAAAAACAAGGGACATTTTAGTATCGTGACAACACCACTTACTAACTACATTCAAACTACATTCAAATCTCCAGATACAATATCCATCCCACATTATTACTACAACGATATGTGGGGGACCGCCAAGGTCAATAGTAGGAGGCCCCCTGCACGAACTTTGATCCCTGGTACAGACCGAGTGTCGCCTGGATGACAAGGCTCTGCTGTCCGACGCCTTAACCGCGGATAGAGCCAGTGTTTGTCTCGCACTCTTTTTACAGAGCATCACAGGCTAGTGCTTTGTCCCTCCGCACATTCCCGAGCAGCTGATCACAACAGGAAAAATTTCAAAAAAATCTTATTAAATGTATGGAAAAAATTTAAATACCATGTGATTATGACAAAACAAAACTAAATTGGAAATTATACAGAGGAGAGGACAGTGCAATAAAGTTCTAAAAATTACCTACTTATTACACAACAACTGCAACAAGCTCATTTAAACTAATTATATGACTTTGACTGTAATGTTTCATAGTATGGTACTATATGATTTATGTATTACATATCTTTATTGCTCAAAAATACCTTGGAAAACATGCATTCTTTCTACAGGTTGCCTCTCCACACATATGACAGATGTAACTTATATTATAGTTTCATTTATTCCTATCTGTCATATTGTAATAACGTATGGGCTGCACTTTCTCAGCAACTCTGAACAAAATATTATTGGTGCAAAAACTTTTTTTTTCTTTTTTTCTTCAAACTGCAACTTATTCCACGCCACTAACATCGTCTGCTAATTTAATAATCAAACTTAACATTCTTCATATTTATGTTATTAATATTTATTTCATTTGTGTTTTATTTAATTCTTTATAATACAACTATGATCCCTAATCATTTCACATTTTATTTTAAACCAATGCAGAGATTCATAGATACAAAACTCGTCAAAATTATAATTTTATTTTTTCCAAAATGTGTCACATGCAGTTTTGCTGCGATACAGAGACAGGAAATTCTGGAGCGGTTTTCACATTTGGCTAGTGATGGCAGATCAGAAGTGTTGTTTAAAAAGAGTTTAAAAAGAGGAAATTGATATTTCATGATAATGTTTGATAATCATTCAATTGTGGGATGTTTTATTGTATTTTAATCCATGTTTGAATTTTTGTCATTTTGTAAAATGAATGCACATCTATAATGTTCAGTTTTAATGTATTCATAGGGTGGAGGCTGTAATATCAGCCCGTTTGGGTTGTTTGCCTCTTCCGGTACCTTTTTTTTTTTTATCTAGAGTTCATTTTTACTGTTATATGTTATATATGTGCAAAATAAAAAAATAAATAACCTGTCCTGGTGGCATTATCTGTGTTTCTCTGTTTAGATAAATACACCATGAAACATATTGCGGAACATTCCATGTATCTCCATGGAGACAACACTTCACTA